ATATTTCTTGACCTGAGTGTGTGTGCTTTATAACTATAAAACTGTGCATATACCGGGCGTGCCAAAAAATGTGACAATTTGGTCAGCATTGCTCAAGCTGTAATTCGTCATAATCAGAAGTGTCTGGACGCTGATGGTAACCACTTTGAGCATCTCTTGTAATTGCAGAAGTCAAACATGACTTGTATTCATCTTTTGTTATTGGTATATATTGAGTATTACAATTTTAATACCCTTTTCCTTTCTTAAAATGTGTGTACATTTTTTGGCACCCTCTGTATATTTTATGAACTTTTATGAATGTGTATTATATTGCACATAAGTGATATATGAACAAAGATTTTAAAAAATAACTTGGTGATCATTTTATAGATAGGAAATTAAGGCCCAGAAAAGTTAAATCACCTTATAATCTTTTGACTTTTAATCTAATGCTTTTTTCTATTACTCTTAGCAGGCTTTTTTTTCTGCTATTTATTAAAAACCTGTTTTCCAGCTATTGTAATTGCATTTATTTAAATTTCATTTTGTTACTTTGAAGCAGAATGTAGTTTATACTTTCCAAAAGTATTTTTTTATAGAATGAATTTGGTGGAATAGAGAAGTTAACTTTTGCGTCTTAATTTTTAGTTTTCATTTGTAGAAGTGTATATTTTCATATAATGGAAGTAGATATTTTGAAGGCTGGTTATGTTTCTTTTTATTTTCAGAAGGAGAAGTCTTTACTTGGGGTCATAATGCTTATAGCCAGCTGGGCAATGGGACAACTAATCATGGTTTAGTGCCCTGTCATATCTCTACTAATTTGTCAAACAAACAAGTGATTGAAGTTGCCTGTGGGTCTTACCATTCTTTGGTGCTAACATCTGATGGAGAGGTGAGCACAGTCAGCACAAATCTCATTAATTTTTGTCAGTAAGATTATATAGATTCCTATAGCAGTCCTAGAAATATGATCATTTAATTAAAGTAACTACCTTCCTCAAATTCAATCTTATTCTTGTTAGCTCTTTGTAGTCCTGGTGTTCATATTATGAAGTTTACCTTTATGTAGTAAAGATTTCTATTACTGCAAAATTTAAAAGGATATATTGTTCCCTCTCTATTGCTATACCCAAGAAGGTTATTTGTAAAAAGAAAAACTCTCCCAATGCTGGAAAATATGGCTGAGACAAAGTAGATATTCTTCTTAGTATTGTGTGATACTTGATAAGAATTATTGCCTTTTGTGTAGATAACACTAATAACCTAACTTTATAAATGAATACATTTTATAAGATTGAATTTTATAAAAACTTTTCTGCTTGAGTTGTGAAAAATTATGGATATTAATCACTTTGAGAGCAAAGATGAGGTGCCTTATGCGCATGCTAGGCTCCAGCTGAGATGCTGTGAAGTAGTGTGTTTCGTTAACTGATCCCTTCTTTCAAATAGGTGTTTGCCTGGGGTTATAATAACTCTGGGCAGGTGGGATCTGGATCCACAGCTAACCAGCCGATCCCTCGAAGAGTCACTGGCTGCTTACAGAATAAAGTAGTTGTGAACATAGCATGTGGGCAGATGTGCTCGGTGGCGGTGGTGGACACGGGGGAGGTAAGGTTATTTCATACAGTGTTTAAAAAACCTGTTTGCCTCGTTAGTGTCATATCAACATGGCATGTTTCTCAGGACACAGAGCTTGATTCCTTCTTGTCTTCTGTGAACACTGAGTCTCTCATTTCCTTTCAGGTCTATGTTTGGGGCTACAATGGAAACGGGCAGCTCGGACTTGGCAGTAGTGGCAACCAGTCGACCCCCTGTAGAATAGCAGCTTTGCAAGGCATTCGTATCCAGCGGGTATGTCCACTGTTGGTTTATGTGTGCCTTTGTTTTTAAAGTCTTCACTGGTAAAGATACCAATGTATTAAAAACAGTTTTTTTTAGCAGGATGAAAAGTTTAGCTGCTTGCATGTCTTCACTGAAGTAAAGGCTTAAGCTCGATTTCCCTGAGTTACATTATAGCTGTTCATCAGAAAATGTATATTTCTAGGGCACTCTCACACACAGCTGTGTACTGTGTGTCTAGAGGACTCATGTTGATCTTACTGTAGCTTTGGCCACGCATGGGGCCTCAGCTCGTTCTGGAGGAAGACTGGTAACTTAATGCTTGCCTGTCTTGGCAGGCTGCCTCTTGCCTTTTTTTTCACTTTTGCTTCTTAACCTACCTTGTGAAAACATGTTTCCTTCTATTTGTAGGCCTGAATGGATTTGGTTTTTGTCTTTCAGGTTGCCTGTGGTTACGCACACACATTAGTATTAACAGATGAAGGCCAAGTGTACGTGTGGGGTGCAAATTCTTATGGCCAGTTGGGCATTGGCAGTAAAAGTAACCTGTCCTATCCTACTCCTGTCGTCGTGGAAAAGGACAGGTAATATGTGCATTTTCGAAATAACTTCAATGTTCTTTAGTGATTAAACAAAACTTATACATGATGTACAATTGTGGGAAATTTACTGCTAGTTCTAGAATATTCTTTAACAAGAGCATTCATTCCTTTTTAAAATTGACTTTTGAATTGTTAGGGAGTTTGACTGTATGTTAAGTATGCCATTTTCCCTGAGCCATATTTCATCTATACCTCCCATAGCTACTCTATATAAACAGTGACTAAACCTCTAACAGCTATTCTACATTATTCTTCTCCTTCACAAATCACCTTTCCCCCTCCTCGTGTTCTCTGTTTTACATTCTTAAGAGGAAGTTGATAACATTGGAGGTCTATGTTCTGTGGTTTAGGGAAATGAAAACACCTCAAATGTTGTATAAAGCCATTCAGTCAGCTACTTACAGAATTTGCCTATTGAAAAGGGTAGGGTCTCTTTCATTACTTCAACTCCCAAGCTGCCACTATGAGGAAGAGTAAAATGGTTAGAAGATTGACATAGTTTTGTGCACTCGTTTGCAAAGTTGTGTTAAGTAAATAGCATATCCAGATTTTTCCCCCAATTTATCCTATTGGTTTTGAAGACCTTTTAAATTTCTCGTATCAGCTGCCTTTCCACTCTTCATTTCTTGACACAGTAGTATGGAACAAAACATTTCATTCAGTATTGTAATCATCGTAGAAATTAATACTGCTATTTTTTACTTTACCTATTTTTGTTATATCTGATTTAAAAATCAATATGTAGATAAATTATCTTGCATTTGTATGCAAATCACTTATATTTTTCTGTTAGAATGAAAATGAAGAACCAAATTTTCATTTTCAACCCCCTTGATTTTCATTTGAGTGTTGTAAACCTGGCTAATTTTATTTAACCTATGTTAAATAGGTTTTAAAAACTGTTTTTATTAATTTTTTTTCCCCTCAAAACAGCATAAGACCTGGAATCCTTAAGAGTTGGGGAGGAGGAGAGCTATTGGAGGCCTGGAACTAGTGGGCTTGCACTAAGTGCCTACAGCCCTGTCACTTGCAATTTTTTTTTACTTCCAGG